CCACCCCCCCCCGCACGCACCGGGGCGGGCCCAGCGCGCGGCCGCCCTCGCCGGCCAGGGCCGCGGAGGAGCAGGGGCCTCGGGAGCAGGCCGCCCTGCGCTCCCCGCGGCGCGGGCCGGGCCCCCGGAGCTACGAGTGCGAGGAGTGCGGGCGCGGCTTCAGCTGGAAGTCGCAGCTGGTCATCCACCGCAAGAGCCACACGGGTCAGCGGCGCCATTGCTGCAGGGACTGCGGCCGCGGCTTCGACTGGAAGTCCCAACTGGTCATCCACCGCAAGAGCCACCGGCCTGAGGCCCCCTGAACCTCGAGAATGCAGCGGGAGAACTCAGCCGCAGCGCCGGGGCCTGGCAGTCTGATGGACCTTGGTGCGGGACCCTGTGTGCAGCTCCAGCCCAGGCCTGGCCGCCCCCAGAAGGCTAGCGGAGATGCAGGAAAGCAGCACCCCCTCCGCTGTCTTCTGGAGCGACTGGGGGGTTCCAGCCCACAGCTGACTGGTGACTGCCCAGTTCTGGCTCCCACTATGACGGGGACAGGCCATGACACTGTTTCTGGGCCCTCGCCCAGGTGGGTATCCTAAATCTGCCTTCTTCCTCCCTTCAGTGTCCAACCTGAGTGAGGTCTTGCTGGGAAGTCCCCAGAAACCCAGGAAAGCATGGCTGGCTTGTTTGTCATGTGACCCTTGGGCCTCCATGTGTATTTTAGATTTTCAATATGAATTATTTTATAATGGGAAATTTCCCAATAAGAATCCTGATTTCTGACTTGTGCTGATCAGAAAAAAGTAACAGACTCCTCCTGCCTGGAAGCTGGAGCCCAAAAGGGCTAGTGTCACAGTCGCTGGTCTCCAGCCTACCCTGTGCTTCCTCTGCTACCTACAGCACTTACCAGCCCCACTCGCCGCTGAGGGAAGATGGACAGTTTTTATTTATTTATTTCAGATTTTTGTCACAGGGTACATGTGCTTGCCAGGGAGACAGAGACAGAGGAAAAGTAAGAAATCACTCCGGGTGTGTGTGTGTGGGGGGTAGCCATGCCACAATCTCTTCATTCTCCCCTCAGGATTTTGAGCATACACAAACACACATGTGCCCACTGTGATTATCAAGGGTCTGGGACGTGAAACATGGAGGTGGCTATGTAGGATCCAGATTTTTTTTTTTTCTATAGGGCGCGTGTGCTCGCCAGACAGACAGAAAGCGAGAAATCACCCCCTCCGGGGTGGATGGCCACGCAGCAATCCCTTCTCCATTCTCCTCTCAGGATCTTGGGCACTCACACACACGTGCCCGGCGTGAGTTTTAAGCCACCGGGTCTGGGACACAAACCGCGGTCGACTATGTAGAAGTCCAGCAACATAGCCACTACGCTAACTGCTGTTCCCAGGATCCAGAATTTTAATCACTGTGCCACCTGCTGGTCCCCTCTGTTCTCAGTGAACACATATACCCTTTGGCAATTGAAAAAAATAAAAGAAAATTTTGAGAGGCCAGCAGGTGGTGTGTTGGTTAAAGCACTGGACTTACATGGCTTACCACAGTTCGAGAAATTACCCTCCAAAGGAGAACGGATTTCAGTGTAGCCATCCTCCCTGGGGTTAATTTCTCACTTCCTGTCTGTCTGGTGCACGCCTTATAGCAAAAACACCTTCAAAAAAAGTTCTTAGAACATTTTATTTTGGGGGGTACCGGCAGGTAACATGGTGGTTAAGGGCACTTGGATTCCCACATGGTCAACTGCAGTTCGAGTCCTGGACCTGGTGGCTTGCTTTCTTACTCCCTCTCTTACTATCTCTTTCTGATCAAACTAAAATAAAGTTAAATAAAAGAATTCTAAAAATAAGACAATTAAAATAGGGGCCAGCAGGTGACATAGGGGAAGCAAGCTGGGGCTGCAATAGGAGTAGCCAACCTGGGTCTTGCTATGTGGTCCCACGCCCCCTGCTTGACCAGGTTTCCTATGGAAGGAGACAGGAGTTATGACCCAACTGAAGATCCAATTTGTGACAGGAGGTAATCTTGGGCCAAGACGGGTGGCCATGCCTGCACTTTGGCTACCATATTCTCACAGCGCTAGCTCTCTCCCTGGCCAGGTCTTCTGGGGGGAACAGGAGTGTGCCAGCTGTGACCTACTATGTGCAGGGAGGGCCACAGTGGGCCTAGAATTCTAGCCCAGTTGTGGGACAAGCTGTGGTTCTCATGGGAGATAATCAGTGCAAACTACAGCTGAGCATGAACCGACTCGGCGACACCCAAGCTAAACACCAGGCCCAGAGCCCTGCCAGGGTTGCAGGGTGATGCAGAGCCGCTTCCCAGCAGCGCTGGCTCCTGACAGCTGCAGCGTGCCATGCTGCCCCATGGCTGGTTGGGGGCGCATGCCACCATGGCCTCCTTCAAGACATGTTCGGGCCTCCCAGTGGCCTGTACTACTGCGGGACCAGACCAGGACCAGGTACTGCTGCTGTGGTTAGCACTGTCCCCAGCCCCAGGGCACACCTGTGGGGCATCGAGACTGACCACACTTCCCAGAGGCCCACATACTAATACCTGCTCAACCCTGCCTACACTCCCCGCAAGGCCTGAGAGGTTCTTCCCAAAGGCTCCACCTGCCACCCATCTCCATTTCTGGGAGTGCTTCCACCTTCACAGGTTAAGACGCATTCCCCAGCTGTCCCGCTGACAAGTGTCCCCAGGACCTTGGCATGCATGGTTACTCTATCAGGGACGCCCCTCACCCTCCTCCATTCAGTCCAGAGCCCTCCAGGCATTGCCAGATCACTCACCCAAATCACTTCCCTCATCCCCCAAAATCAGGTCGCACTGGCCCACCTGGCCGGGGCCTGGGCCCCTCATGAGTCACAAGACCCCAATGGGGTCAGAGCTCTCTTCACCTTGGACTGGTCCTTCCATGCCTTGGCCCTGAGCAGACAGGGCCACTCCGTGAATACAGCTGAGTTCCCTGGCAGGGAGGCAGGTGAACTCTGGAGTAAGGTCTCTCTCTGGTTTGTTTGTTTTGTATTTGTCGTAGGGCTTATGCACTTGCGAGAGACAAAAGTAAAAATCACCCCTCAAGGGATGACTACCCTGCAACCCCTTCTTCAGTCTTGGGATTCTGGGTACACATGGGTGCCCAGAGCAATTTTCAAGCTAGGGTCTGTGACTGAAACCGCACTTGGCCATATGGGGAACCAGCATCTCACCCACCAGGCCACCTGCTGGACCCTGGAGTAAGGTCTTTTGGGGACACTACTCTGCACTCCAGTAATTGACCACAGTACCCTGCACTCCAGTAATTGACACAGGCTGTCTTCTGTGTACACACCTGAGTTTATTCTAGCTCTGCTACCAAGCTGAGTCATCGTCAGCCCTGTGCAGCTAGAGATGTGGCCAGAGTGGGATTCAGGATGACCTTGTGCCAGTCTAGGCTGGACTTGACACTGAGCAGGGGTGTCCAGCACTCAACGTCCAGGGGATGGCCAGGTGGTCAGAGCCTCCAAGTTCCTTCACACACAGCCTGGTACACATCTGTCGTCAGGGGCCGGAAGGCATGGACTCGGTGGTCCAACACAAACAGAGGGTCAGCGATGACCCTCACATTGAAGCCCTCCTGCACCAAACGGGACTTCACCAGTTTGAACGTGCTTGTCATCTCCAGGGACTCCTGCAGGGCAGAGTTCATGACCCCACACTGTGACATGCCATCCCACCCCACTCCCACCCACCTATCCCTGCCACTCTGTGCTCACCTGGACACGGATGAAATGCGGGGTGGCATAGGCTGGGAGCCAAGCGTGCACGTGATGGTATAGCTTCTGCCCATTGAAAACTTGGCCGGGGGCCAGCTTCACGGCAGCCATGCCCACCTTACCCTCACACCCTGGGAAGCACACCACTCTCAGCTAGCCCACCTCGCGGGGCCTACGGCTGACCCTCCCCGCCTAGCCCAGCTCTGCTCACTGGCTGTGTGACAGTGCCCAGCAGCTCTCCCACCTGTACAAACGCAATAGCACCCTCCTCCCGCAGCGGCTGGAGGCCTGACATGAGGCAAGCCCTCCGCACCTGGCACTGACACACCGTACACGTTCACCTCCTGCAGGAAGTCCACCTGTGACAGCACACCCTCCACCTCGCGGGTGGACACGTTCTCGCCCTTCCACCTGCGGGGTCGGGGTCCACGCTCGTGACCACGCCCAGGCAGGGGGAAGGCCCCACGCGCTCTGGGGTGGGCGCTTCGTCGGTCTCCGCGCCCGCGCGGGGTCAGAAGAGAGGCCACCCACTGGGAGGGCCCAAGTCCCACCCCGCCTCTCGGGCTGGCCACGCCCAGCGCTGGATGCCCCGCCTACAAGCCCAGCCTCTCGGGCTGGCTCCGCCCCGCTCTGGGTGCCACCCCGGCC